ATGGCGATGATGATAGTGATGATGATGATGACAATGATGATGACTACAATGATGATGATAAAAATGATTGTGACGATGATGATGATGATGAAAGAAAATTTCAATTTAAACAAGCTTGAACTATACCTTTTACTTTGTAAAAATAAAAGTTATGCGTGCAATTTTTTCCAGCTTCAAGGAAGTCGTTATTTTCAGGCGATTCGTTTCTTGGTTGTAAGCAGAGTTGACTTTTGGCGACTCGGACTTTGCCATTCAAATCCTTAAACTTTGATGAGCATTTGGGTTCAAAAGTAACATGGTTGCTAGCATTTGCTAAAGAAAGAAATAGCGCTGTTATACTAATCAGCATAACTGGAGCACTATCAGTTATTAGTAATTTTTTTTGAGCAAATCTCAGTGTGTGAATTGAAAGAGGCGAAAGAGGGAGAGGAGTAGAAGGAGAAAAAAAGGTGAAGAAAGATGGGGTACGAGATGGAGAGGGAGAAGAAGGAGGAGGACAAGGATAAGGATGAAGACAAGAAGGACAAGGATGAGGACAAGAACAAAGACGAGGACAAGAAGGAATAGGATGAGGACAAGAAGGACAAGAACAAAGACGAGGACAAAAAGGATGAGGATGAGGACAAGAAGGACGAGGACGAGGACGAGGACAAGAAGGAAGAGCACGAGGACAAGAACCCAACGGTTACTCACCTGTATTCACATGTAGACAAAGTCCACTAGGAACATGCCTAAGGACCCCAGATGACGTCATCTTGAAGTGTAAACGGCTAAGACCACAGTCAGAATGAAGGACTGCTCTTTCACCATCACTAGGTATGTCTTGACCTCCCAATGGGTGTAGACATTTTTCACTCTCTTTGTGCATTATACAGCCAGTATCCCCTGCAAAACAGTATTCAGTCATGATTTCAAATAACTCGTATACAAAAGCGACTGCTTCACTTATTTTTGAGAAGGGGGTTCGGTTATAAAGGAATCAAGAGTGGAGTGGCAGGGTGTCGCCTTTTACCTCTAGGATCTCGTGTTCGATTCCTGGACACACCCTGTCGGAGGTTGTTATCTCTCCCTTGATCGAGGGTTTTCTCCGGGTTTAAAAATGAAGTGAAATGGCAGGGAAACGACGAATACCTGTCGAGTTTACATCTTTCGTTTGCGTCAAGTAAAAAAACCAGTAACACATTGTCCCACTTCAACAAAGACAGTTTTTGACGAAAACGTTTTTAAGTTTTCTTGAATTTCACACATGTAATCAATGGGACATTAGAAAATCTGCGTTTTTGCTGAAACAATTACCCCCCCCCCCCCCCCCGGGACAAAAACCTAGATTGAATTGCCAGCAAGAAAGACTGCAGCCGTGTATCTGTAACTAATTAAAACCTTAGCCTGTAATGCGATACACCAAACGGACAGATAGACAAGATGTCGTTTAGTGTAACCGTATAGCCACGTATTTTTAATGTAAATACTGGTTATGAATTAGCAAAACCACGAGAAATAAATGCCCCAAAATACGCTTTATAGTGGTATTTTCCATTAAGTAATACAATATAAGTCTACCAATAATTATCAGAAAACTAACCTGGCCTTATGGGATAGAGATTTGACGGTTCCTCGACCTTGTAGATGTTTTCGATTTCAACAGGGTCTGAAAGCTTCACGCCGAAATCATGCATCTCGGGTCGACTAATGATTCGGTATTTTACTGAAACTACGTCCTCTCCCTTTACGTGAAGAATACTCTTCTCAAAACTCGAATGTAGTTTTCCACAATCAAGAGGATCAAGCTCTTGAATAAGGGATTTTAAACTAGGGTGGAATGGATCAAGACTCGGTAGTCTACACGCGCTCAATTGAACAATAGTTGAGTCGTTTAGTGTTGTTGTCATAATAAGCTGGCGCCGTATTTTTCCTGCGTAAAGGTCCACGGGTTCTTCTGTGGCAATCCAAATAGGTTCATTACTCACAGAATAGAATGAATTTCCTTTAAATCTATCAGAATGTTTGTTAATATATAAAACCCACGACAACATCATGGCGAGTCCTGTCACAGCAAAAACAAAGCGACGACGACGACGAAACCTCATCTTCTTGGGCGCCAAAGATGCATGAAAATCACAGAGACGTCCGAAGACTAACGAGTGATGATTTGGTATTTTAGATTATAAATGCTTCAGTCCATCTCACTAGACTCCGCATTCTGGTTTGCTATTGATCAAACTGCCTGCAAATACATCCTTCGTACACAACCGGGGTTACGCGTGACACGTGATTCGGGCTCAAATATAAGTGCGTGATACGTGAAAATAGCAAAATGTAGAGCGTGATTCGTGGTGATCAGACGAGTGATTTCTTCTAGGCTTGAAATGTGCGGCGTAATGCGTGGTTGTTTTATTCGATTTCGTGAAAAGTTAAAATTCAATTTAAAATCGTAAATCATTAGTTCAACTCAAAACGCGCGAATTAAAAATATTGACTGCGACCCCCCTCCCCACCGTAACTGTCAAGTTTACGGGGGGAGGGGAGGAAAGAGGAGACAATTGTCCCAAAGGATTCGCAGGATTTTCTTAAAAAAATTACCAATTTTTTTGCAAAGGACCTTTATCATGTGGCAGCCATGTTGACTCGAACTGGAACAATAGATTTCCCCGGTATGGCCTCGCATTCTCTATATACACAGGCAACCCAAACAAGGTTGCTGCATCAAGAGGTTAGAGACTGATGTGAATGTTTTGTTTACAAAACACACATGCTCTGACTGTGCACTACTGCAAGGGGCAAGTTTATTGTCAACAATGCACTGCCTCAGTGATAAAATGACAATAAAAGCGCATAACCGACAATTTAAATCATGTGAAAACCCCCCCGGGTCCGCGGCCCTGCATTGCCATTGTCATTGTCATCGTCATTATCATTATCATTATCACATTGTTGTTGTCATTGTTACATTGTCATTGTCATAATTATTATAGTTGTTATACTGTAATTCGTTATTGCAGGATGAATGTTAGGTCAAGTTTGATTTTGAACAAACACTCACGTCAACATTTCTAATATTCGTTTGTTTGACATGGTTTTCCAACAGCATAACATATGCACACTTTTTTTTACACCTTTTATAACGCCTTCTCGTCAAATTATTGGAAATGTTGGGTCAAATTTAGGGTCAAATATTGTCAGGGCTAGCTTTAATATGGGGCTTATGACAGATATTATACTGTAAAATTCAATGGCTGACGAAGGAATTCTACCCGAAAAATTGCTCAGCCGCTTCTCAACCATTGCTCGGGCCTTCTTTAGATAAATTCAGGGTCAGGTTATAGGGTAAGGTGCACGTATCGGGTCGTCACAAGCATGTATTGATAAACTACAATAGAACGTTTAACTAAACCGAAATTTTTCGTACCTTCTTAACTTCATATCTTGTCATGCCAAGCACTACCAAGCACTCCAAAGTTTAGTCAGCCGGTAAAAGCCGCTAGTTATGCTTATTAGCTTCATAGAAACTTCAATTGAAGTAATGAGGATAAAGATGCAATAAATGAGCTAAATTCTTCGTCATGCATTTGCAATTTTGTGTGGAAAACAGCCTTACTTTTCCATATTCGTATCTAGACTAAACTTCAACAAAAATGGCGGCAATATCACCGCTGGCTAATACTACAAAACTGTAAACGACAAAGCAGCCACAACTCGCCACGACGAAACAGCGAAGAAAAGTGCCGACGGCCTCCGAGGAGCTTCCGAGGGCCTCCAAGGGCCTAATACTACTCTTGTCAGAAGACCGAGGCAATTGTGATTTTTTTATCGCCTTCATAGCGTCTGTTATGCTAACTACAAGTGTATTTCAAATCGACAGTATGATGCTAAATCTGTGTACTCACTGGGACAAGTTTTTTTAGACGACGTGACCGAAGTGCAGTCAACTTTTAAGGTATCAGGGTACCCCTAGCGACCAGTGTGCATTCAACTCTTAATAGCACAAAACCTTTTAATCGAAACCTCAACAAAGTATACATTTTCTGAAAGCTGAATAAATGTAGAAACTGTGCATTGAAATTCCTCTTCGTTCGCTCTTGCTTGACCACTTCCTGAAATACTCGGAGCATCTGGAATCAAAGTTTAAGTTCTTTTCACAATTCTATTCACACTTATATATTTCTATTTCAGTTAGCTCACTTTCTGGTATCTCCTCTTGAAAGTTTACGATAAGCTCACTTTGGAAGGCCAAGAGTTTTTCTGTGCCAAAATGAGACTGTAGAATCCAAAATTCATCTACCTTAAGTTTCCGGCGCAATCTTTCGCCCTCTACCCGGCTGCTGTCCTCTGCAAGGGACACAAGTGACTCCAGATAAAAAATCATTCTTCGCGCGAAGGTTTTTTCCTCGACGTCTAATGACTCTGTTTGAGGCAAGGGAAGAGTATAAATTACTACTAATAAAGCATGATACAATAAAGGTTTCCTTAAGTGATTACCTTTCTTCACTGTCATCTTCGCTGTCTTGAGCAGTCTCTTCTGACGCCACATTTGGTGGATCGCTGATTTCCTGTAAAAGAAACTTTTTTTAAATTCATGTTGTGCAATAAATCTCAATAAAGCAGCTAACATTTACGTACTCTCGATTCGTGGAAAAAGCCGATTTCTCAGCGCGCTTTCCTTCGTGGCTTTCTTGGAACTCACAGGACACTAAGATGACAATGAAACACTCCCTCCGCAGGGACATGAAGAATTGCCGCATCTTGGAAATTTGGTCGGAAAATCCGCATCTCCAGGTAGAATAGTAAGTGAGTTCGTTTTTCCATCAAAACAATGCAAAGTGGAACTGGCTATGTCTTACGCCATATTTAAGGTGGCATACAAACAACTTTCTACAAATATATTGAAAGAATAACAAAGAAGATGTATGAAAAAATAATAACAGAAATTGTCGAACGTGAACTAAACGTGATTTTGACTATTCTTTTGGGTTTGGGGAAAAACCGGCGGGGTGTCGGATTCTTCCTCAAAAGAACGCCTGCTCTGCAGGCTAATATCTAAGGTCCCGTCCACACTATGCCGGATAAATTTGAATCCGCAACTTTCACACCGAAACGGAAAAAAATGTTTTCCGCCCACACATGAAAACGGAGAAAATGTTTCGCGTCCACACTAGTCCGATCAGAGGCGGCAAAAACGCTTCATTGCACATCTGAGCAAGCGCATCGAAGCTGAAATTGAGCCCGCGGTGAATTTGTAGCCTTCCCGCCATGTTCTCATGACAATCATGACGTCATCGTATTCGAAAAGTTCCGGATACGAAATGTTCTCCGTCCACACTATAAATACGGCTAGCAGGCGTTTTCAAATTGTTCCACTCTGGAGACCGTATTCGAAAAGTTCCGTTTTCGGTGAAGAATTGTTCCGGATTCGCCCGGACTAGTGTGGACGGTAGGCCTAACCGGATAAATAAAAATTCGGATTCAAATTTATCCGGCACAGTGTGGACGGGGCCTTAGGTTTTACTTACTTAATTTTATCTTATCAGTAGGTGTAGATCTATGTGTGAGGAAAACGATCACGAAACAAAATGATACGCTAATATATATAACATTAAATATAAAATTACTATAGCGTTAGAACGGGACAAGAAAATCTGAAAAGGTGATTGAGGAACCAGGGAACCCTCACAACTTATTTCTACAAACATGCATGCATTACTAAAGTTTCAGCGGAGCGCTCTGTTTATTTCTTAATGCAGAGAATGTAGTTTTCATATATGTCATTATTTCATAAATTCAATTCTTTAACTTGTTAATATAACTGTCGGTCACAGCTATTGCAGGACGTTGGTCCGGCTTCAACCAGACCAACTTTCGAGGAAAAAAATATAAGAAAAAGTATATAGTACGTATTAACACATATCATATCTTATTAAACTGTTTCGCTAGAAGCAAATTTTGTTGAATTTTTATTGGATTTGGCGATTCTATCCCCCACATAAACAAGCAGTGACGTCATAGTGAAATAGGGCAATTGCTCTTATTACGTATACAATATAGATTGATACATTTTCCAATTAAAAAATAAATCCCAAACAACAAGAATAAAACGCATTCCTCAATTATACTCATAGCGTAGTTTTAATTAGTTACTCATCAAACAACCTACCCTTAACTGATATTAGGATGTCGATGATAGAAATACAATGAAATTATGTAAGCAAGTTGAATTTAGTTGAATAGTTGGCGAAAAAAAACAAAACTGGCGGGAAAATTACAAATAATTCATGGAATAAGGGTAAAACTTTAAGAATATAGATTCATCGGGTATTAAAAACCCGACGACACTGCAAGCGAAAAATCTTTCGACGTTAACTGTTATATATTTTTCACTAGAGCAGTTTTCGTATGACTGTGAAAAGCTCAGTGCCGTAAGCGTGCCGTGCAGTGATCGTGATGCTTTCTAGAATTTTAATTGGCTGATTTTTTTCATGTGCAATATGATTGGTCTAAAAGTGCCGTGATCTTGTCGTGACCGTGTCCGCAACGTGTTTATACCGTGTTTCGGGTATTTGATTGTATGGAGAGTAAATTCTCGTGCAATGTGACTTGTCTAGCGTATCCCTTGCCGTGTCACGACCGTGTTCGTGCCGTGAGCTTTTCACAGTCATACGCAAACTGCACTATGAGAATTCGCCCACAAAGCCCTAGGCACGAATGGAATAAGACTCGAGGCTTCGTGAGCGACTAGCTTCAATAGTTCTTATGTGACAATGGTCATTCATCGCTACGGGGTGGGGGAGTGGGAGTTTTTTCCCTTACTTCTCGTTTCCCACAAATGAGCTAAGATGTAAAGTCCAGAGAGAACGGGATAACTTATATAAGGAGCAGGGTGACAAAATGCATGCCACGAGAACCCGAGACTCATGCAAATAAACGTTGATGTGAAGAATCTCGTTTTTTGGGCTTTTCGTGCTCAAATTCCATAGTGAGAATAGCGAACTTAGTTGACTGTAATGCGATTAGCATGACGTCCTAGATATCACGCACGGAACTGGCATTTGACAGCCGAAAAAAAAAAATTGAACTAATTAGAAACATGGACAAATACAGTCTCGAGCTGGTGGCCACTGCGGAACTCCGATTTCATCAAGCCGAATGGCGAGACCGACGCTATGACCACAATAAGTGCTACACCAACGATACACCTACACAATAAGTGCAAGTAAGAGTTTCGCTTTTTAATGTTCTCCAGCATTGTTCGTCTTCCAACGATTTTTTGAAGTCATGTGAGAACATTTTTGAAGTGTTCCCTGAAAACTTTGACTTTGGCCCAAACATTTGTAATTATATAATAGATAGCTAGCTGACTAGCTTGGTGTAGCCCGTACAGGTCATAATTCCAGTCAACTTACTGCACCTCAACTACTAAACTATATACTATCGTATATTCTAACGTATTAAGTTGTTAATGCACCAAATAAAAAAGTGTCATTGTAGTATTTAGATTTCGAAAGATAATTTCTGACTTCAATCCAGAAAATAGTCTTGATATCTAGAAAATAATTTCCAAATTCAGATATCCTGAAATGTAGTTTCAGTTTGGCCAGGTGGTGCACTGATCGACCATCTCGACCATGCTGCCTCCTCTCAACTTTCAACGCTTTTGCAAGTAAAGGCAAATTCAAGCACTATGTGTATGCTTCATGCAGGTGAGAAAACGATTTCAAAACACTAAATGGCTGGCAGTTATATTGCATTAACACGATCCAAACTATCCTATCATGATTAAGAAGTGCCAAGTGATTCCAAACTTGGGACATTTTATTTATATTTTTCTCTTTTGGTTTTAAACCTGGGCATAGTATACTCAGCCTTGAAGTGGCACTCTTTTTATTGCTGTTTTGCCCCACTTCAACGACCATGTAAAACTCCTATGCAAAAATAAGGGTTTTTTAAAAAAGATTTTGAAAGTAATAGGACGTTTGTGCATGATGGCGTTATCATTATTACTAATACCAAAAAGGTTTTGTATATTTTCTTTCTTATTCAAATTTATATACCTTCAGAAGAATACTAGAGAGTTGGTAGACTTGTTCACTTAATTATGCAATAATGATGGGGTGATACTGGTTTGGCTGCCTGTGCTTTATTCAGCGAACGAATATGGAGACGAAGCTTTGCTGAAGTCTAGCTCAACCTTGAAAACGTAGTGGTATTTTTCTTCCCGATCAGTATGCTCTTGTTGTAACTGTAATTTCAGTTTGTTTCTTTGCTCCTCGAAAGCTGGCAAAATTGCCTAGGAAGATTTAATACAGAATTTTTTATCTTTGTGCGACTCACTAACGTTTAGACCGGGGTTTAGACAAGTAACTCACGTATAATTACACGGCTGATGTGAGCGAAAAAATATAAATCGACTTACTTTGCGAGAAGTAGAAGAAGTGGACTCGTTATCGGGTATTTTAGGTTTTTCAATTTTTTGGAGTGTTGAAATGGTAGCGGTGAGTCGTTTCTCAATTTTTCTAGCTCGTACATTAATAACGCTTTTGCTCCCAAAGGGATTTCTCCGCCGAACACGAGATCGATCTCTTTTTGAAAATACAAGTTTCAGTGTTGTTCTAGTCGTAAATTGATTCACCATCAATCTATCTTGAATTAAGAGGTAAGACCTTAATTTGCAATCCATTCAATGAGTTCATCTCGCGGCGACCGATCGACGAACTTCATAAAGTTCATAACGAACCTTCGTTTTGAATTTCCGAAGTTCGGCTGCCAAATATGGAATTTCCTAACTAACTTCGGAATCTATTCGGGAAAAGTTATGCCGAAGGCAATGAAACATAACATATAAAGGCGTTAAAAAAATAACGACTGCCTCGGTCTTCTGTGTACCCTGCGAGCAGAGTCTCCTTTTAACTCCTCTACGGGCGAGAGAAGGAAAGGAGACTCTGCAGAAATCGTGTACAATTTTATTTGAGCATGCGCAGCGGTTGCTAAGAAACTAACTCGTTCACAAACTCACTCGTTTTATAAATGGTTTCCGGTTCCTGTCCGAACACGATTACCGCTTAAAACATGTTTTTACTGTCATGACCTCAGTGAAAGATGATCTCGTGTTCTTCTTTCACTGCTTCAATTTCATCAAGCTTAGCAGTTTGAAGCACTATTTTTTCACAAGCGGAAATTTGGTCGCTCATCAGTGCCTGGAGCGGAGTTATTGCCGTCAAAAGAGGATTTTTAGGGTATCGACTAGTGTTTGGATCGATTTCTTCGGAAGATGTTTGATCATCGGAGTTACAAGCTGGAAAATAAGTGACTTTGCATGACCTGTCTGCAGCGAAACAAACGGGTCTTTGGCATCCATAAAACTTTCTAGCGATTTCCTTTGATGAGTAATTGGTTGAAATTGATTTTTGTTTTGATAAAACGTGATATAGATCGCTTTCGAAATTACAGTTTGGGATACGATGCGGGCTCAATTTTGGTCATCGGCCATATTATATTATATACTCTCATCTTTGCATCATAATTACCGCGACCTAACATCTATTTCACCCCGGCCTGCTCTCAGTCTGACCTCTAGCTCAGCTGGTAGAGCATCGGTAGTACAATTCCGAAGGTCGTGGGTTCGAATCCCAGCGAGGTCGGAAATTAATTTTTCCGAATTTAATTCCAAGGGCTTTCGCCCGGAATAACCTCGTTCCCAAGCACTACAACTTACCTATATTATCTTCTACTATTTCATTAGTGCCACGCGGTCCACATACTCTCATCTTTCCATATTATTTAATACAGACTCGCGCATCAAAACCAGTTTAAACCAGTATGAAACCTGAAATTATGCATCTCATTATCCAGATTCTTGGATAACGGCACTACAAAAGAAATACACGATTTCTGCAGAGTCTCCTTTCCTTCTCTCGCCCGTATAGGAGTTAAAAGGAGACTCTGCTCGCAGGGTATCTTCTGTGAAGAGAAGTAATAGTAAATGTCCTTGATTTTCTGCTTTCTTGCTTCTCTTCAAGGTAAGTTCATATAAAAATTATATAGAGGGTATACATGGCTACGCATAGATACGCATTCAAATGTCGAGGTGATATCTTAGGCGTGAACGCAGCGAACGAGTAAGGTATTGTCAATAGGAGCAAGGTAAAATCTGTATATCCAAGCGGCCATGTCAATTCTGTTTAATATAAGTTATCAATGAAATAAAATTTAAGTTTATTTTACTATTTTTAGAATGCGATTCATAAGAATTGTTACAAAATGTGTTCTTCTAACATGTGACGATATCATGTATTTTCTTACGTAGACAAGACTTTATTTTCACTCGGTCTTTTTCAACTCAAAATCCCGAAATAACTTCATCAGAATAATCTCTAGGAAGGGGGGAATTCATTTTGTAAAAGTTCTATCGGCTTTTTTCGACTTTTTCATAGTAAAAAAGATACGTTTGGCCGCTTAATATTGTGTTGTCATTATCCCGCGAGACAGCGACTGTGCTCCGAAGGATACCAAAATTATGTTAAAAAATCCATCCCAATCCTTGCCGGATAACACGAATAACACGAACCAAACTATCTAATCGGCTTTTCTTCGAATTTTGTATATTAAAAAAAGATGCCTAACTAAAGATTGTGTTGTCCATAGGTAACTAGGTAACTCACTACTTTAAGCGTTTTTGTAATGAAAGCCAAATGCAACTAGTACTGTGTGTTTGCTACTCAATGTGCAGTCATAAGTTATATATATATATGTGTGTGTATATTTGTTTGAGAAGAAAAAGTCAAGACAACATTTTTCCCGACAAGCCTGTTTCGTGAATTGCTTCACTCTTCAGGGGATTTAATGATAAGCTCACCACATTGTACAACAGAAGACTCCAGAACATTGTGATCTTCATGTATAAAATCAAAAATAAGTTATTACCACGAACTTTAATTGACTTATTTAAATCACCCACGCGTAAATATAATCTAAGGAACATAGACTTTTCATTGCCTAGCTATAGCACTGTAAAGTATGGGAGAAATAGCCTAAGGTATTTTGGACCACACTTATGGTCTAAGCTTAGTACTTCGTTAAGATCATCGCCATCCCTTCAAGCATTTAAGAAAGGAATAAGAGTTTCAGACCTGACTAAGTT